ATCAGATCACTTGAATCATGGCCTGAAGATAAAAGAGTCGAAACATGATATTTAAGAGTCCTACACTTAGTAAATAAAAGAAAAGGTGTTATTTGCACTTCTTTCTTTCTCTAACTCCTTGGATCTTTTCATGTACTGTAATTTGGAAGAAGTCTAAGCATGTTTTTTTTTTTTAATAATACAACTGTAGTAGAAGGAAATAATTTAAAAGAATTCTACCTAACTGCAAATCAAATAAATGTCAGAGCCAAACCACAGAACCTTCCCCTTTCCTTCCTGCTCATTATCTAAACAAATAGCTACCTTTCCGTACTTTCACTGTGGAAAATAAACCTGGGCCTCACATTCAGGCTGAATGAGATAATTCTGTTGTTCAAAGTATTTCTCTAAGAGAAATTGTAATTAGATCCATAAAACATTGTTATTTGGGGCCACACGTTTTCATTCTATTCACAAGATCAATCCCAAGTAAATGCATACTGTATCATTAATAACCTCTCTCAAACATACTTTTAATTATGATTTCCATTGCTGTATCCTACACTCTCACATGTTTTGACAGTTTTTTTATATTTACCAATCTTTACATTTAAAAAGAAAATGATTTTGTTGCTGTTTGTTTTGAAGTGCCCCTTGTCAAAATTCCAACCATTTATAAGATTTAATGCTCTTAAGAATTAATTTAAATTCCAGTAAGAAATTCAAGTTCCTAAAACCAAAGCCAATATCTTAGTCATCATATATTTTCTTCATGCATACAGAAAGCATTCAATAAAATAAATATATGTTCAGTTAACAACCTCTTCTGATCTTTACGTCTATGTATATGTAGTTCTCTTGGTTATAATGATCACATACAAACCAAAATAAGTCTTACTTTCTATGATTAACATCTTTTATGTCAACTTTTCCATGAGTGCACAAAGTTCACACACCTGTCATTTTAATAGCATTACTATATATTGCTCTCTAAGCTGGCATGAGAGCAGTAGGCCAAGCGTGTATTCAGAACAGGATTCTGCTACCAATGAGGGCAGACTCTTGAGGGGTCCATTTGCCTGAGAGTTCTAATGAGCTACTAAAGGGAAGGGATGGGGGAAAATCAAAATAAAGTGACTTAAATCATGAAAAATCTCATTCAGAGAAAATGTGTCAAAGGCAGTTCTTCATAATTGGGCATGGGTTTTGAATACATTATAACATGTTAGTCTGTGATACCATTTTCTTGACTTATCATAAGCTTTAGTGCCCTAATTCTTATCTAAATTTAAATTCTAACACAACTGCATAGTTTAAAACTGACCAAAATAAGTTAATTTCTCAGGTTCACTCATGACTCATGCAGTGTCCCATATATAATCACCCTGGGAAAATGATCTGACTAAAACAGATTATTTTCTATCACAAAATGGAAAATATTTTGATAGAAAACATGATATTGGTGGAAAATAATCTCTCAATACACAAACAACATGGTGCAATTCAACCTTGGTTGGATCCATATTGGACCCATTCAAAGGTAATAGGGGATTAGTTGATATGACACCAGGAGGGCTAGATGCATTTATGAGGGTAGTCTCATCAGACTGACTCAAACACTGGCATCACTCCAAGGCTCTAGGTTATACACGTACTGAAGGAGGTATCAAAGAGAAAAAAGCAGTATCATGAGGTTATCCATGTCATATGTTCGAGTTGTGGATGGTATCCAAAAAAGCTCCTAGTTACCCAGATCTACCATCTGTTGAGGGAGTTTATTATAAACCAGGATTTTTAATAAACAGCAAATATAAAATCAAATTTGATAAGGTAAAATTTAAAAGTGCTAACTGTCCTAGAACCCAGCAACTTGTTGTGTACATATTTTCTTTTTTAATCAGAAAAGATTTGGCAACATCCTATTCAAAACATTTTCAGTATTTTGAAACCATCTTTAAATTTGAAAGATTACATATTCCTATATAACTAAGACAAATACAAATATATCAAATTCAAATAATTTGTCAGCATCTAAAATTTTGATTAAAATGAACCTATATTCTTACTATATACTTCATTTTATAATAATTCAACATGAATAAGCTTTCAAACTCACTTTCTTTATAATGCCAGTGTTTTAAAAAAGAAAATTTTCTAAGACTGTGCATCATATTTCCCTTCAGGGAAAAATCAAAATCATACCAGATTCCCTTTGTTATGTTTCACAGTGATACAGAGTTACCTCTGTCAGCCTGTTTCTATTGTTGCTGCTGTTTTAAATATTGTAAATCAGCAGTTTGGAAATTATACTGCATATCCTCATTGATACAATGTTATAAATTGTAGTAAAAATTCTACCAAAGCCTCCTGAACTAATGTGTGGGCTGTACTTACTGAGTCTTCAATTTTCTCTTTCATTAGCAGAAGATGTTTCAGTTCATGTTTTAAACATCCTGTATTCCAAAAACTTAAGTCAGCTGATTTTGGAAGAACATTCCCCTGGGGAAACACAAGTTGACTCACTACACTCCTTGCCAAAGCCTCCTAACTGGTCTACCAGTCACTCCTTCCCAGATTATATCCTCCACTGTGTTGTCAGTTTTTAATCAAAAATCTGATTGTCACACTCCTAATTAAAAACTTTCATTAACAAAGAACTTCCTACAGGGTTAAGTCTGAACCCCTTAGCTCAGCAAAGAGGGCTCCCCTCCACTGGTACCAACCTACCTTAGTTTTACCCTGAATCTTTCCCTTTCATATAGACTACCTAAAGTCATATTGAAATTATCATCATTTTCCTCTATCCCCCACCCTCATACTTTTGAAAAAAAAAATCTGCTTAGGATGTACTCCTACCCTTTCACTTGAAAAATCTACCCATTTAGCTCAATTCAAATATCACTCTCTCCATAAAACCTCCAACATCCCTCAAATACACTTAGCACACTTGATCACCCTTTACCCTCTGCACAAGAATTGAGGGTGGTATTTATGGAAGTTCAATAAATGTTGACTAAATTTTGGGAGTATATCTATGCTTCAGTGAGAGGCTGGTCATAGACATTGATAAAGAGTTAAGTATATTCCATTCATTTAAGTGTGGGTATGTAATAAATGTACACATGAACCAAAAATATCATCTGATTTATATTTACAAACACAAAATCAGGGATCACTAAACCTCGAGAGGTATAATCTGCTTCATCTTAAATATTGATAGATAATTGCCACCTACACCACCACTGGGAGTAGTCTTTTTTAATCAGAAATGATTTGGCAACATCCTATTCAAAACATTTTCAGTATTTTAAGCTTCAAGATTTCCATGCTTGGGCAAAACGACATAATTTAAAAAGAAAAAACCAAAGATAAGAAAACATGCAATTAGCGTGCTGAAGGTCCACAGTCTTGCATTGAAATCTTCCATCATTAATTACCTATGAACAACTCTCAAGGCAACAATTTTGAAAAACTCCCATTCTCCATTATATATCCAATCGCAGATAGAGAAAATACAGCCAGCAGATAGAGAAAATACAGCCAGCAAACAATTTATACAAAAGCCAAAATCAATAAAATGTTTCCAAAAAGAAACTAGAGTGTTTGATTTGTTTTTCACTATGCTTGGGCTTTTCCAATATAAATATTTTACACATTCACGAGAAGCTTCACAATTCAAAAATGATTTCACATAAACGATTTAATTCGTAAGGATAATCCTGTGAGTTAAACACAGCAGGAGTTATTTGCCCATATTTAAGACAAGGCAAACCTAGTATGAACACAGATAAAAGACTATAGCTATAAAAATGCAGCACTTCTTTAAAAAAAAAAAAAGTATGACTTCAAAAGCAAAAATGGCCCAAGAAAAATGAGCCCCCTTTCCTTTATTCCATCACTACCTCTAGCTCTGTGGATCTACACGGGTGACTCTGCTAAAGAAACGAACGCCAAAAAGCTTAAAGTATGATAACCTGAAGCAAAAGTTCCACCTTCCAGTCTCTTTCCAAGTGACATCAACTCTACAAGCAAGAGCAAGCAAGCTCCATTTCTCAAAGCACATTAAACGCGAACACACCCTCGGCACGCACCCAGTCTCCAGGGTTCTCGGCGGACTTCCCCGAGGTCAGCCCCTGATCCAGAGCAGTCTGGAGAGTGCCTGGGAGACCCGGCTTTGCTCGAGATGGGGGTGGGGTACGGCGCAAAAGGCTCTTCCAAGTAGGATACGGAGAAAAGTGGAACCGGACATCAGACCAATACCTGGAAGGGTTTGGGACGCGAGACCCCGAGCTTCGGGTCTGGCAGGGTCTACACACGTGCAGCGTCGGCGCCTCCCGACCCCGAATCCAGTCCCGGCCCAGGTCCCTCCACTCCCGGGGACCACGGGTTAACTCCGAGCGTCCCAGCCCTGGGAAACAGCAATCCCAAAGGAGCGTGGAGGCGGACACCCACCTGGCCGCTCCCCACCGAAAACTGGGCCCACTAGGCCAAACAACAGCAACCACTGGAAACGGAGGGTCCCAGAGGGCGAGCCCGCGCCCGAACCCATCTCGAAAGAATCTGCAGGTTCCACTCAACACTCGGTCGCCTCTGCCTCCGCCTCTTCCATCATTTTGCAACCCTGCCGGGGCCCCAGGGTTGGCCAGGGTACGCGCGCCCAGGGACGTGCACGCGCGCGGCACTGACGCAACTCAGCCCCTGGTCCGAGCTCGCTCCCGACATCGCTCTCGCAGCGCTGACGTAGGGAAAAATGTAGTCCCTGGCGGGAGAATGAGATTTCCAAACTGGCCGCTGAAATCCTCAGTAGTCGGCCCAGCCCGGTTACTATCTGCCCCGCCCCCTCTGCCCCAGCACGCCTACTTTTGAGGTCAAGGGAACCGATTGGACGAAGCAGCCGGAACGGAAGGAGGAGGAGCGTGAGACCCACAAGAGGAATTGGGAAGCTGATGCGAAGCCCCACCCCCATCAGCCTCTTCTGATTGGTTAAAGGGGTGGGTGGAGCATCGAGCTGCGCGCCCATTGGCCGTTTGGCGGCGAGGAAGGAGGTTACGCGGAGAGGCCTGACAAGACCGGGCTTGGGTTGGCGGTACCGGGCTTGGGTCGGCGGTGCCGGCCTGGGTTTTGTGGTTGAGACCGTGTCTCCACCACTGAGCCCAGGAAGATGGTGCTGGGTGGCTGCCCGGTGAGCTACTTACTTCTGTGCGGCCAGGCGGCTTTGCTGCTGGGGAATCTACTTCTGCTGCACTGTGTTTCTCGGAGCCACTCGTACAATGCTACCGCCGAGCTCGAGCTCACGTCCGCTAGTGCCACCCACCCAGAGGGCTCCGCGGGTGCGCCAACCTGGGAATATGGCGACCCCCACTCGCCAGTCATCCTTTGCTCTTACCTGTAAGCTACCCAGTCGTCGAGGCGGGTGGAGGTGGAGACTGGGCCAGGGATATGTGGGAAGGTAGAGGGAAGGGAAAGGCTACCTTTTTTATTAGACCCTCTCCGGATGAAGACCCGATAGTAGTGATAGGTAATTATCAAAGTAGGTTCCTCACTCATCTCATTCGTGCAGAGAAAAACCTTGTGTATTGGAGATAGATCCTTTAAGATCCCGAAAGAGTAGTTCTAAGAAGGAGTGACATAGCCTCTAGCATAAGTATTCCAGGCTGTGCCTTCTCCCTCCTACACCCTTTAGCCAAGGAAGAATCCACTGGTACTGAATGAGGTACAAATGAATTAAATGACACTTAAAAATAAGGCACAAGGCACTTAAAAATAAAAATATAAAGAATATCCTTACCATTTGCAGAACCAAGCCATTTTTAATATTTCTTTTTGAGCAAGTAAGACGTTTGGGAAATGCAAAGAGACCTGAGCATCTTTTGTCTTATTATTTGCCCCAGTGCGTTATGGTTGTTTGCCTAAGGAAGAGATGAAGCCATGGCAGAAGTAGAATCCATGTAAAAACAGGACCAGAAGCACCTCCCTAATAAAAGGGTCATTTGAGTAGCTGTCAAGTGTGACCTGCTGTGCTTCTGTTTAATTGACACCACCATTTGGCTTGGAAAAGTTATCTACAAAGTGTGAGCCCCCGAAAAAAACTTAACAAATAAATGTTTGATGTTTATTTTGATTATATTCATCTAAACAGCAACTTGCAAAAGGAATGATTATGATCATGATCTTACTGGTGATTTGCAGACCTGATGAATTTATAGAATGTGAAGACCCAGTGGATCATGTTGGAAATACAACCGCATCCCAGGAACTTGGTTATGGTTGTCTAAAGGTGACTTTTTGTTTTGTTGTATTAGCAAATGCTTCCCTATAGAAAAAGTACTGACTAAATATTGTTACAGAAAAATATAAGGATATATGAAGTTACATTTTTGTAGAAGTTCATCCAAATGGCTGTTACTGGAAATTTCCAGCAAGCTAAGGTCAGTGACTGAACATGACATTTGGTTTCTTCAGGAAGGAACAGTTTCAGTACCTAAAGCATCCAGGTGCAAAGACCTGTCTGGTTCTTTTGGCCATTGACAGATTTGAAGCTTAAATGTCACCTACCCTTCAAGGCAGGCTCTCTCCTGAGAAGGAAAAAAAAAAAAAGGCTTTGCACTTTCTAAAACCAAAGATGAATTGGGCAGTTTCTGTTTCACACACATTTGGGGTAAACCACTTGCCAGTAATCTTCCTTTTCACCAGGTAAGCAGGTTCTACCATGTCCTTAGGAAATAGATAGCGTTTATCAGTATGTTTTCATAGATAGTAAAAATTATTTCATGGGGAAGCTGAGTGCAGTAGCTTGTGTAATCCCACTGACTGGGTAGGCTGAGGCAGGAAGATTGCATTTTCAAGGCCAGTCTCAACAACTTAGCAAAGCCCTAAGCAATTTAACAAGACCCTGTCTCAAAATAGGACTGGGGATATAGCCCAGTGATAAAGCACCCTTGGGTTCAGTCTCCAGTACCAAAAAAAAAATTGAAAAGTATTCTAGGGGAAGTCTTTGGTAACAATAGCCGCTTAGAATGGAAAGAGTCAATCAAATCCATTAATAATATCCCTAAAGCTGGGTGTATGTACATTTCTTAGTCAGTCTCTCAAAAAGTTCATATATCTTTTCCACACCATGGAGTTAACATTATATTATGCAAGATTTAAAAAGATGTTAAGAGGATTATTATAGCACAAAAAGAAAAAGAAAAAAAATCTTTTTGTGCTAAATCAAACACAAAGGAATAAACTTGACAAGAATAAGACCAGAAAGGCAAGTATCCTCTTTTCCAGTATTTTCTCTTTGAGGAACACTCCAATAAAAATAGTATACAGCACTAATAATGTTCCAGTAAAAAATGCACAGGTATGCTTTCTCTGCTGGCTTTTAGTTAAGTAAAAAGAGGCCCCATTCCAAAATTTTTTACTAGAATTTGGACTGCAGAAACCTGATAATCACCCATTCATGACCTAAATAAAGTCCTAAGTCAAATGATATTCTGAGTTATTTTATAATTCTGTTAATTTATAGTAGATATAAAAGAAATCTCTAATACACATGATTTTTAATACCTATTCTCCAATGCTCCGATTTGTACTTTTTCCTGTAAGTATTGTGTTCATTTCTCCTAAATTACATTTAATTAAATTGATTGTAATTTTTTACTACATTATTGAAGCCAATCATGAGAGGAAAAAAAGGTTTATTTGAACAATGTATATTTAGGATGGACTAATCTATCATTTTAAATATTTTACGTGCTTTTAAGTATGGAATTCAGCTTTACCCCAACTTTGTTAGAATAATTATAGTACTGAGGCAGTTTTTATTGGTGGGAAAAAAAAGATATATTTTTCTATTACTTGTTTTGGTGAGTTTGTTTTTTTCTTTTGGCTTTGGCTGCTATTCCATAGTTTGGAGGTCAGGCATACAGTGATGTGGAGCATACTTCAGTCCAGTGCCGGGCCCTAGATGGAATTGAGTGTGCCAGTCCTAGGACCTTCCTGCGGGACAATAAGCCTTGTATAAAGTAAGTATTTGTTTTCTTTTGCAGTGCTGGGGATTAAACCCAAGCATGCTAAGTATGTCCTCTTCAACTGAGCTACACCCCGGCACAAAGTGTTATTTTGAATGGGGTAGTTGGTTCCAAGATGTAGGCTCTCTATTCATCTCACAGATTATTTCTTTTGCTGAGAAGAAACTTTTTAGTTTGAGTCCATCCCATTTAATTCTTGATTTTAATTCTTGCGCCAAAGGAGTCTTATTAAGGAAGTTGGAGCCTAATCCCACGTGATGGAGATTAGGGCCTACTTTTTCTTCTATTAGACGCAGGGTCTCTGGTTTTATTCCTAAGTCTTTGATCGATTTTGAGTTGAGTTTTATGCATGGTGAGAGATAGGGGTTTAATTTCATTTTGTTGCTTATGGATTTCCAGTTTTCACAGCACCATTTGTTGAAGAGGCTATCTTTTCTCCAATGCATATTTTTGGCACCTTTGTCTAATATAAGATAATTGTAATTTTGTGGGTTAGTCTCTGTGTCCTCTATTCTGTAACATTGGTCTACCACACTGTTTTTGTTACTGTTACTCTGTAGTGTAGTTTAATGTCTGGTATAGTGATGCCTCCTGATTCACTCACCATTTGACCCAGCTATCCCTCTCCTCGGTCTATACCCAGAGGACTTAAAAACAGCATATTACAGGGACACAGCCACATCAATGTTTATAGCAGCACAATTCACAATAGCTAAACTGTGGAACTAACCTAGATGCCCTTCAATAGATGAATGGATAAAAAAAAAAATGTGGCATATATACACAATGGAATATTACTCAGCAATAAAAGAGAATAAAATCATGGCATTTGCAGGTAAATGGATGGGGTTAGAGAAGATAATGCTCAGTGAAGTTAGCCAATCCCAAAAAAACAAATACCAAATGTTTTCTTTGATATAAGGAGGCTGATTCATATTAGGATAGGGAGAGGGAGTATGGGAGGAATAGACGAACTCTAGATAGGGCAGAGGGGTTGGAGGGGAAGGGAGGGGGCATGGGGTTATAAATGATGGTGGAATGTGATGATTGTTATTAACCAAAGTACATGTATGAAGACACGAATTGGTGTGAATATACTTTGTATACAACCAGAGATATGAAAAATTGTGCTCTATATATGTAATAAGAATTGTAATGCATCCTTCTGTCATGTAAATAAAAAATTTACACTATTAAATTATTCTTCCACAGAAAAATAATTTACAGATGTGCTTGCTGTTTGCAATATCTGTATTTTAAAAAATTGTGTTGTTTTGATTTCTCTTATTTTTGTAAAAATTTCCACATACATTTGATAACTAAAATATTTTATATGTATATCTTTCTTTCTTGAAATCCTAGTAAAATTACAAGTTTATAACAAAGTCTGTAAAACATTTTAAAAATATATAGAAAATTAGACAAGAGAAACCTCAAACAAGAGTTGTAAACAAAATTTTTGAATAAACAGGTAGATGTAATAACTGATTTAGCAGACTAGAAAATCATAAAACATAATTGCTCCTTGAGGGAAGAGACAAAAGACATATGATTCACTTTGTAAAACTCTGTCAGAAATTGAGGTACCAGATACATTTGAAGTTGAATGTTTCATTATGGGTTTGAAAATTAAATGGGTTTTCTAGAATTCACAAAATGAACAGTAAAAGATGCCCCCACCCAGCCCAAAAAAAAAAAAAAAAAAGAATGAAGTAGTTGGTACTTGGTTGGATGGAAGGAGAATTATATTTTTATTGTCATTTTTTGGTCTGACTTTTCTTTGAAATTTTAAATAGGGAATCCTATTACTCTGTGACAGAAGCATTTTTCTTATAGTAGGGGACACTGGAATTGAGACCAGAAGTTGTAAGTTCTAAATATCTCTTTCACTAAACAGCTGAGTGCCTCTGAGCACTCAAGAGTTTATTCCCTCATCCTCTGAATGAAGAATTTGAACCACCTGATCTAGCTCCAAAACTCATGATAGGCTTAAATCCTGTGAAAATCCTTAGTATTTCATGGAATAAAGGGTTTTTTTATAAAAAGTGGGTATTGGGAGTTCTCTCTCTAAATATCAGTTGATCTTAACTTAAAGGATTGGGGTCATTGCTGTAAATTCTGCTTGAAGGCACAGAATTTACTTACACCACTAGCTAATTCAAAGAGTCTGTGGCTATGTTTATGTTAATATTAGCAACTTTGGTTAAATGTCTTCACAGTACATAAGGACAGAAGCCTCCAGAAGTCCTCACTTTTAACTGACAAAAAAGCAGGAAAGGTTTATGGAGACAAGGAAGGACAGTGCTCCCTTAGCAAAGGGCACTCAAAGGAAGCCAGCTGAGCCTAAGGAGAGGAGCCGGTTGAGGGCAGGTTGGGACCCCAAAATCAGTACTACCAATCACATCTATTATGCAAATGTGTTTAATAATTTCTTGTCCAATCCTACTCTGCAAAAGTTAACATTTGTTCTTAGAAGTGCTCTGTATCTGAGCAAGTACTTGTGTTTTGGT